AGGTGACTGGGGTTTTGGAGATTAGATTAGTAGATATTCTCTGGAAAGTAAGTTTTGTTAAGAGATGACTGGGGTTTTGGAAAATATTCAATATAGTCATTCCAATGTATTAATGTATAAAATTCTTAAAACTTTGAATTACATATTGCTTGAAAACCTTTACAGAGAATTACTGTACTAATATTTGTAATAATAACTACAAGTCTTTACGTTTCAAATATCTAAAATACAATTATGCATAAACGAAGGTGGAGTGGTATCTTGAATAACAACACAAGTTTTTAAATTATTTAATTACTGATACTCATTAAAATTCATCTTTTCTTAGACAGTTTCCTGCCAGCAAGTTGAGCTTCAGAAGAAACGGACAACAACCTTGCAGCATATGTTATCCAATAACAATCTTAGTAAGAAAAAAATTTTCTTTCCATTGACATCTAAATTATCATTATGTGCTACATATTCAAATTTTCAGAAAAATTTAATTCAACAACTAATGAAGTGATAAAAAATATTTACCGGCATAAGCAAGGAATGCTGAAGACAAAACAACATCTCCTATGATAGTAGCCATCTGGTTCTTAAAGGTTTCACTAGTGGCTTCCCATCGTTCTTTCTCTGAGCTCAAACTTCTCAACAAGGCAATGCTGCGATCAACCTTAGAGAATTAACCAAAGTATTAGTTTAACAAAGCAATGCCACAATCAACCTTAGAGAATTAACCAAAGCATTAGTTTAACAAAGCAATGCTATGGTCAACCTTAGAGAATTAACCAAAGTATTAGTTTAACAAAGCAATGCTATGGTCAACCTTAGAGAATTAACCAAAGTATTAGTTTAACAAGGCAATGCTGCAATCAACCTTAGAGAATTAACCAAAGTATTAGTTTAACAAAGCAATGCTATGGTCAACCTTAGAGAATTAACCATAGCATTAATTATTTTTGGTGTACATAAATTCAGAAAGGACACCTTGGAGAAATTTCACAATATAAACTTCAAAAAATTATAACAGTTGTACTTTTTTTTGTAGTTTAACTAAACATTATCACCTGTTTGAAGTAGAAAATGCAAAAAGTTCCGAGACGGTCTCACATGACAACTTCTTAACTGAAATTCACACTTGTACAAAATATAAGCAGGTTAAAAGTGCTTACCTTAGCCTGCACTGAAGCAAGGTCAGACTTGATAGCTTGTGCTTGGCTTACAAGGCTAGCATACTCCTCTTTGTATGATGCAATACTTTTCTCCAGCTGAGCAATGATGTCATTCATCTCCTTCGCTTTCTGTTTGTTTTCATCGGCTTCTGATTCCAGGCTCTTGAGCTCATTACGTAATGGTTCTACCCGCTTCAGCATGTCGGCATAGCTAATCTGGAGAAAGAAGAGAACCATAATCAAGAAGAGACAATCACACAGAACGGTGTACAAAGATATAACATTTTAACAAAAGAGAGAAATACACTTTCCAAGTAATACATGGTATATTCATCCTCTATTGTGTGGATCAGTCTTTCTACTAGCAGTTACTGGAATTTACACATTACTCGTCTGAAGATATATGTATAGATAACCCAATCTCTTTTATTAACACAAACATAATCAACGTACTTAGAAGCAGAGTAATTTTGCACAAACACACACATAACATTAATATATTAGTGAATAAATTGATTTTTAATGGATTTAATAAGATAACCAAGTATTTTAAATTATTCTGTAATAAATATACAAAAATATGTATATAAATGTAAAAATAGTAGTATAAACGAAATCATAATAAACACAATAAGTAATCATTTTTAATTTTTGTAGGGGAAATTATTGGAATTACTTATTTGAACTGTATCTTGTATAGGTGTACTAATGCAGACGTATAACTTTCCCTATAAACCACCTGCTCTTATGTAATTCTTATAGAATTGACAGTAACATGAATGGATGGAGGATGGGAGCTATACTAACAATTTAGGTTGGGCCTGTATAGTAATATCTTAACATCATGGTATGGTATGTATGACATCATTATTTGGGGGGGGGGGGGCAACTTCAAGGACAGTTTTACTGTCTCCCCCATTGCATAACTACCCACCTTATGGTATGTATGTTTTTTTTTTCATTTTCTATTTAATATTACAATTAATCATATATATGTACATACTAGCAAAAGTACCCAGCTTCACTCAGGTTATTAGGTTGATTTATTCTAGAAGCCTGTCAGTGTGTGTGCATTCTGAACCCATTTTAATATTCAAGTATATATACTTTTGTTGCTCCTTTACGGGATGTGGCCTGTTTATAAAGGTAACCTTACCTCTGACTTGTTCTCCAATTTTAAACTTAAATAATAAAAACAAACAATAAAAAACAAAGCTCTTTAATGAATGGAGCCTCTAAATTAGAAAACAATTTTTTTTTTCAATTTTGTAGTTTATACATTTCATTTTTAACTTTTAGCACACAGCCTATAACACCAATATTAGGTTATACTTTTATTGCTAATCAACATGATAAAGCCATTTTTGGAAAGCATTGTTAACAAAACCCACTGCCTTTTCTATATATTAGAAGTTATTATACAAGGACCCACTTCTTTTCTATGTGGTTTGTCGCTAGCTTGTCTTATTAAAAAGATGCACATGCATGCACACACATGGATAAGTAATAATACCCAGGTGCACAACCTGAGGGTCCACTTAGTATAGGTGCATAATTTCAGGTTTCTTGGTTCTTTCCTCTTGGAGTTATGGTGGCCACATTTCTTTTCTATGTGATTATTTTGCATAAAAAGATGCGTACGTGGATGCTTGCATGCACGTAGATAAGTAATACCTAGGTGCACACCCTCAGGGTCCACTTAGCATGGGTGTAAAATTTCAAGTTTCTAGGTTCTTTCCTCTTGGAGTTATGGAGGTCACGGACCCATAGACACACCCTTCTATTATTATAGTTATGTAGCAATGAGTCATACCCCTATCTATACATGTGGAGAACATTAGTTTCTTTAAACATAAAATATACAGTATTAACAACAACTTATAAAGCCATATCCATGCACATAAAACAATGGTTCCATAAATATACATATATATATATATATATATATATTGATCACATTTATCCAACAAGAACCCTACTCTTTCATCATGCATACTTATATAGATACACTCACATATAACAAATACAACCCTGTTTTGTGACACTGTATCTAACAAGTGCATTACTGTTCCATCATATATACACACAAGTATAAAGCAACTAACCTGTAAAGTACTGTTTTCATACAGGCATGTAAATATAGACATATCTACCTCAGATTCATTATATTACTTATTGAAACACACACACATACATCCTACATAGACATTTACTTTTATTCTTGCAAGTTTACAATGAAAATAAATATATTAAAAAATATTTCCTGCAACAACAAATTGATTTTGCTTCTTTCTTACTTGAGCTATAGCCCATTTGACCATTGGTCCACAGGCCAAACTGGCACGATTGACTTTCTCAAAGTTGTAGTCTGGATTGTTCAGGTATCTCGTTTTCATTTTGTTCCGTATGTCATCCCTGAAACAAAGCCAGGAAAATCATTCTAGTAGGTACAGCTCTAATGTTAAGTCAGCATAAAATTATCAATAATGAAATTTTTATGCTACTTTTTCAAGACACAACTGTAAAGTTATGTGGTATTTCACGTGAACTTTGACGGATCAAGTAGTTCATTTAAACTACCCCTCCTAAAAGTATTCCGTTATTCACATTATGTTCCAGTTATATAATCTTTACACAAACTTTTCCATAAAAAATTTCCTAGTTTCTAAAATTTCTAGATCTTCAGAAATTTTATAATTATGAGCCTACCTTGTATAAACTTAGCGTAGATCTTTAACTTTCCTGTGAAGAATGTTAATCCATTATAACAAAGTTGCTGAAATAGATGAGTATAACATTATATACATATTAATTATTTTAACGTTCAAATAATATGTATTTTATGGAAATCACTGATGTAACAAAAACAATTTTGAATATTTGCAAGCTAGATTATCTGTTTCTTAGAATCCAATGAGTAAAATTAATCATATTTTGTGGCATAAATTTAAAGATTAATTTTCATTTACATATTTCTCCTAAAAATTTTTACATTTAATAACACTATTTAAAAAATTCCAGAAATTTTTAATATTGTTCAAATTATACTTTTACACAAAAATTACCACAAATTATAAAAAACTTCAATATTCAAAATGTTACTATATTCCTTATTCAAATCAAGATAGCCAACATGATTCAGAATGTTCAAAACATCTTTACTAAACACAGTAATGAAAGAATAGTCTAATATTCTGTTATATATTTTCTAAAAAAAAGTTACGATAATGCAATATCTTCCATAAATGACATGCATTGATATTTGTACTTTTTACGTTTCTACTTTAATCATGTCCATACCATTGCAAACTATTTTGTACATGCACATCATTGACAATTTATGTGCATTCACAAGAAAACGTTATATACATAATTTTTAAAAAAAACAAAAAACAACAACAAAGTACAGCTTCTGAATAAGGATATAAAACAAATGTTTAGCCAAGACTGTGCTGACACAGGAAACGTCCCAGTGCTGAAAAGCAGAAGAAACAATAGAATCAACCTTACGAGAGATTTTCACAGGCAAAGTTGACAATGGTAGGGATGAAGTTGTCACGAATGATGACTGCACGAATAGCCTTCCAGTCAGGGGCTGGTTCCCCAAGCAGAAGGCAGATAGACTCCAAAGCCATCTTGACGGGTGGCGGAGGGTTGGCCATTGATCGAACCTCCACCAAATGTTGCCGCTTGATTCCTTTGACCGCTGTACATGGGACAAAGTACATTCTAGTACACTTCAACATTTTATGTTGTTATCTGACCCATGGTACTAAATAATAAGTAACAAAAGTTTGTATTCAACAAAGAGAGAATGAGAAACTCTAAATAATTATTTTATTGTTTAGCTCGAAGATAATTTTAAATTTCAAATCGGTCCAATCCACTAACAAGGTGATTCCATTATTGAATGAAAACTTACTCTCTCTCTCTCTTTCTTTAATAAAAACTTTTCAATAAAAAAAAAAGGGCTAGCTTAAATAGACAAGAATGATGGAGGTTTATGCAGCTATGATACCAGACTGTCTTGAATTCTGTGTGCAATTTCACCTTTCGTGTTATCATGGAAAGGTTCCAGAATACTTTTAAATCTTTAATGTGAAATGGTTTATTGTTTAATTTATGGTTTGGGAAATTCTGATTGCAACTCTCATACGATGCAATCGAATAAACACTGAATTTATCTTTTCAGAAAGAGAGATTTCATAAGTCAAATCAATGATGTGTATATTGTAAATTCCAACAGTAAGCCAGACAAGCCAACGTAACTTGCCGAGAGAAGCTCAAAATTTGTGTTAAATAATTCTCGTATAATGGTAGAACCGAATAATCAAAACAGTGTCAATATCATTTTCTACACAAAACATCCACCAGCTGCAAAATATGAACGATTTACAGCTTCTACAATCTTACGTGATATCATCGGTGGAGAAGTTGACAATGGTGTTGATAAAGTTCTCACGTATAATCACTGAGCGGATGGCCTTCCAGTCAGATGCTGCCTCACCCAACAACAAACAAATGGATTCTAGAGCAAGTTTTACTGGTGGTGGGGGATTGGCCATTGACCTGACCTCTACCAAGTGTTGCTTCTTGATTGACTTGACAGCTGAGCAAATAACACATAGCACAGCCAAACTCAGAAACATCAAGCCTCATAAAAATGTTCTCATTATGCAGAACCAAATTAAAATGCAAAAGTAAACACAACTGCCATAACTAAAAAGAAACAAATTCAACTGAATGATACTTAACGTAAAAGAAATTAAAATATCTGTACAATAGAACACAAAAAATAATGAAGATAGTTCCAAGCACAAAACTGACCCCCTTTGTTCTTTTCTGTAAAATGTGTTTCCAATAATAAACGGGTTAGCTCAACATCTGGTTCTGACAGCCTAAATTTGAAGAAATAAAGCTATCAGGGTTTCAATTAGATGCCAAGAGCCAGGTAAAGTAATGACCCCCTCCCTTCCAAATATATTCTTTTGACTTAACAATCACATTGATTGTAGCATTTTAGAGTAAAAAAAATAAAAAATGGGCTCAATCCTTTCTCTATTTCAAGTTTGAACCTTTTTTTCATAAATATAGAATGGTACAGAGGATAGATTGCCAATTTTTCACTTAAGGTATTATTATTAAATACACAGGTTACCATTTCTTTGAGATCAGTCTGAACACTTTACACATTCTTTCAGTAGTGTACTTTTCATAAGAATTGATACAGACCAAATAAATACGTTTGTTAGTTATAAAGAGGCTACTATCACTTGAAGCCTTAATTCTTTGTGCTGTACCGAGAGTTTTTCATGGTATAACTCATTATTTCTGAAAGTCTACTGGATTGATAAAACTTTATTTGCTCCTTACATCACATCAATGAAAATATTTTTTGTGTTTCAGCTATTCACTGAAAGAAATTTATGCTATTTAAATCAAATGACTTTGTAAGCTAGAAAATCTGAATTGCCTTAAAGATTGTTAAGGCAATCTGCTCTTAAGAGCGGAATACAGACCCTCAAAGATGGCTGCAATCAAGGGTTTTCAATTCAATGAAGCAAGCTAGAAATTAAAGGTTCACTTGTTCAGGAAAACAGGTTATGTTTTATAAATTAACCTTTCCCCTCTGAGATTTACTTTGACCTATCACAAAAAACTATTTGTAGATCAATTGACACTTTCTTACTAACTGCAGACTACCAACTCACTTCCTTAATTTCATTTTGACGCATTTAAGTTTTGAAAGAAAATGCACTATGACAATACAGAAGCTAGTGTCCATCAAAATTCTCAAGACATTAATTTTTCAGTCCTTTCTAGACGTGACTTAACTAACTTTCATAAAGCACTAACTACCACTACTAAAAACTTTGCAAAAAAATAAAATAATAATAATTTTTTGAGGACGATCACATGACAACCAACAAGTAGGGATGGGTCGGAGTAAAAAGGTTCTTCCACTCTAGAGCTCGAGAGATGTCATTTCACAAAAATTTTTAATGTCAGAAAAACATTTAGGTTCAATATATCTTATATAAAATGATAAAAACCCTATAAACCAAGCATTTTTGAAAGGTGGCCCTTTCTTCTTCAAGGGTAAACTGAAGAAGAAAAGTCCACCTTTTGAAAGCACTTGGGTTAGAGGGTTTTCATCATTTTATAACGTGTTTAATAATATTTCAAATTCAAGTATAAACAAATATTTTGTTCACTTAAAGATTTCTTTTTCAATCAACAATATCAAAATAAATCCAGAGACATTTAGCAACAAATCAGTTCAATATTTTTTATAATACTAATAATAGGATACTTATATTATTTAGAAAAAGCATCGAAGAAAGGTAAAGGATTTAAACATTAAAAAGGTTTTTGAAAACAATACAAAGTTTGTAAAAAAAAATCCTCTAAAAAATTTTTTATCCTGTTATATTGTGATCTGTGTCAACACAAAATGAAATAAATCAGAATATTATACTGAACAAACACACAAAGATAAATCAGGAAATAAAAAAAAAACAGCTTGTTTAATCTGTTCACATTATTTGAAATAAAATTATACAGGCCTGAATGAGTGGATTAAGTTCATTCTAACAAATCAAATATTATACTTGAGAATGTTTGTAGAACTAAAAATAAATTTATTATTAAATAGACAGAAAATTATATAATTAGTGAAGCAGATCAAGTCGACGAGCGACTCAGAAGATTACTAAACATGCTTCTTTTTTTACAATGTTTGATTCATTTTGATATAATTACTCATATGGGATGTAGAGACTAGAATGTATATTACAGAAAATAATACTTTTTTTATATCACAAAGTAAATTTACAGGGTTTTTACAAATTGAAGACAATTAAATCCAAGGTTAATGCACATAATATATGTTTTACATGTTAAACTGTACAAAAAGCTGTGTAAATATTCTTTGCTTCTTTCTGGCTCCGAGATTTATGTATTTTATAAACTGATTTAATGTCAATAGTTTGTCACCTTCGGAATATACACAAGATTTATAATAATTTTTATGTGTATTTTTGCTCATATTACATTAGCGGTTGAAAGTTATATTGAAAATAAGCACTAGCAGACAAAAGAAGTTATGTTTTGAGAAAACTAAATATTAAAAGCCTTTACACAATGTTTCATTTGCATGAAGCCTACAAAGTCAGTGAAATATACAGGTGATTCTTTGATTACAGGGTTTAACTGATTCCTAGTATGGCACTGCTATGGGAGGCATACTTATCTTAGATGTTTAGGTTTCGTAGCATAAAAAGTACTTCATATTTTGAGAAAAAAAAAATCACATCATCAAAACAAGATTAAAATATTAATCCAAGCATCATGCGTGTTATCTTAAATTAATCATGATAAACATCTTAGAAACAACACGATGTCTTGAGTATAAATATTGTTATTAAAGTAACTTCTTTCCTCGGCCACTAAGCTGACACATCATCCTAAACATTAATTTGTGGTGGGGTGCAAGAGATTAAATACTTCTTAAGTAATAAAGTTATTAATAAAAATTATCTACACAGACAAAGATCAGAGTGTCAGTCAGTAATAAATGACATAATGGAGAACTTTTGTTTTTGTTTCTAACCTTTACTCAATGCTATAAAGACCAAGTAATCTGAATTACGAGTAAGTCACGTAACGAGGATTTTAGAATGAACATCAACACGAAATTAAACTTGTGTAACTTGTGATAGTGTTTGTTTTTAACCATATCCCATTTTATGTAAATCATATGTCTATTAATAAAAACTATAAATCATATCTCAAAAGCATACATTTCTTTTTTTATAAATTAAACAAAAAATTAAGTTTCTTTTTTCTGTTTACAAACATAAAGCAAGTTTTCCTTAATGTAAAAGAAATCCACCCAACAGTTTACGGAGTACAACTTATTTGTGGATGAGCTGCATAGGTTAGGTTTAGCATCTTAAAGGTTATCCATGACACTGAACTGACTAGTAAGAACGTTAAGTGCATATGATTTACATCTCAGTGATACCAAATATCTTTTGAAAAAAAGTGAACAAAGATACAATGGAGTATTTCATTAGTCAAGAATAATTATTATTTAGATAATTCATTCTTTCTAGTAGTTATTTGCTCTGAAGGCAAACCTAGAAATAAAATATGTCATTATTTATATATGCAACAGTTTAGATTCAACAATAACAAGCTTACGACAATACCTTGCTGGGCTTCAATAACAGCTGGCTCCACTTGTGCTAGGTCCTCCATGACACTAGCCCGTTTCTCTTTGATTACAGCTTCTTGTTTCTGGAAAACAATGATCAGATCTATACTAACGACTTCCATACGATTTGGTGTTTAAGAAAGAAATTAAGAAAAATTTAATTAATCAAACGTTTGTCAAAACCTAAAAACGATTGATTCATTAACAAAATCCCTTAAAAAAATACCCATACATACATGTGTCTATCAAACACGGCAGCATAAACAAGAGCTAAGTTTTCTTTGTGTTCCTCCTTATATTTTTTAAGTTGCTACAAGTTTAACAGAATGAAATGTAAACCTCTAGAAGCATGTGAAGTTACAGTCTGACATTTACAGTACAGTAATAATGCAGTCCTTAAATCCAGTAACTAATAAAACAGTAAAGGTTTAATAGACCTTTCATAGAAATTATTCAAGAAGAACTAATTATCTAGAAAGTTTTAAATTAGATTCATATCCTTTGTAAGTATCTAACATATTAAAATCTTCAGATAGCCCTGTGAAATTAAAAAAAAACACTTCTGTAAAGTACAACCATTAAAGCATAATTTTAACCTCATAATGTTTTATCTGTAACAGAAGTTTGAAGATCTTGCTAATATTCAATGGATTATCTTGGTTTGTATAGTACAATATCAGTAGCCAAATGGGAACCAATAATTGTGATCAGTATTTTTGTATAAATTTGATAAATTCACTTGCTAGATATCCTTAAATTAGCAGTGAAAGACTAGAGAGAAAGCAGCTAGTCACCACCAACTCGTGGGCTACTCTTTTACCAACGAATAGTGGGATGCTTGGTGAGATAGGGATTTGAGCCCACAGATTAAGAGTCAAGCACCCTATTTAGGAAGTGTAATGATGTTGTAATACATTACCCTTAGAGCATCTTGAATCTCGTGAGATTGCATTTTCTTCTTCTCAGCTTCTTGCTGATCTTTCAACTATAGGTGAAAAATCATACAACGTTAAGAAGAAAACAAAAACAACAATGACAACAACAGAGCAATGTGGGTTTTACATCGTTAAGAAAAAACAAAACGACAACAACAACAACATAGCAATGTGGGTTTTACATCGTTAAGAAAAAACAAAACAACAACAACAGAGCAATGTGGGTTTTACATCGTTAAGAAAAAACAGAACAACGACAACAACATAGCAATGTGGGTTTTACATTGTTAAGAAAAAACAAAAATTACAACAACAACAACAGAGCAATGTAGGTTTTACATCGTTAAGAAAAAAAAACAACGACAACAACATAGCAATGTGGGTTTTACACTGTTAAGAAATACAAACAAAAACAACAACGACAAAAGAGCAATGTAGGTTTTGTCAAAAAATATTCATTCACTATTTAATATAAAGAACATAAAATATTCACCTGTCATAAATATGCAATATTTTGCATATGGACTTTCAAGTTTGTTTTGATGTAGAGAAACCTGTTCATATCCTATACCTCATCAGTTTGTAACAATTAACTTTCACATAAAAAAGTGGAGTAAAATCTTATTTCTTATAATTAGGTTTTATTAAAGTCGAAAAAACAAAACAAAAGACAGTCTGTGCATTTCTCAACAAAGAATTGTTCTACAAATACACAAAATAATTTTTTACTTTAAAGTCTTTTTTCACCAAAAGAGAACTCAGTTCTATTATTATTAGATTTGATATTGAAACAAATAAGCCACAGTATATAAAAAATATTCTACTAAAAAATAACCTTCAGTTCAATATCGGGTTCTTAGGTTAATAAGAAGTTTCATGATTTAACATACAGACCAAGAGTCACTACACATTTTCCAAATAATTACCATTTCCTTCAGTTTAGCATTAGCAGCCTGGTTCTTGGCTTCCAGTTCTTGACTTTTCAGAGCTAGAGATTTCTGTAGTTCTTCCACTTGTTCAACAGTTTCTCGGATCTTTTGGAGACCGACATTGAGATGCAACTGTTGTTCCTCTAACTCTGAACGTTTCTCGTTGAAAAGTTTCACCTGAATAAATAAAATGATGCTCAAAAATGTCACAAATAATTAAAACAAGTACACTAAAGATATCAAACTTGTTGGATACGACAACTTACTAAATGAATAAATTATCTTCAGGTTAA